CCCTTTTCTGGCATAAATAAAACAAATGGCACTTCGACAGAATAAGTCAATTGATTTGGGCAACCTTTTTAATCACTGGAGATATATTACCCAAGGTAAATCTTTCACATGTCCAACAGACTGGCCTTCATCATATTAAATGAACCTCTCTATTTATAGTTTGAAAAAAAAAATTGATATTGATATATCTCAATGCATATTAATCCTATAATTCACCGGTCCTTCATTTTAAACTAGCTATCAGCATAATTATCTAGGAAGCCATTCGAGCTCTGCTCCAATGAAGATTAATAATTCAGCACAAACAGTTGTGAATATGCAAGAACTGAAAATTTATTCAACTGCTAATAGTGTTTTGCTCTACAAATGAAAGAAATACAAGAAAAATCACCTGACTACATTGCCATTTCTGCTTGCAATGCTGCAAGTTCATCTTCTTCAGCTGTATTCTTTTGTGGTGCAGGGCGCACTGATTGCCTGCCTGGATGAACATGCACCGGAGCAGCGGGAGCAGTTGTAGCTGGCTGAAGAAGTTGCTCCTCCAACTCTGCACCCTCCAACTCCTCCAATTCTGCCTCTAATTCATCCTGCCATTGAGAACATAATTAATATGTGAAGATGGAAATGGTGAAAAGGTGACAAACTAATAAGGAAAAGATAGGTACTTCATCAAAATCAGCTGCTGCTCCGATTGGAGTAGCTAGGGCTTCCTGAATTTGCTTCATATTCTCTGTCTGCTCATTGATTTCATCCATAGTCTGGTCTACATCATCAATATTCCTGCATGGAAAAAGATACAACAATGATACTATCATCCCCATAACTCTACAAGAAATAAATGACTAAGCTTCTGTGTCAATTCCTATTATAATAATAATGTTTTACATTTGATGTCAGAAATCAAGATACATATATTACTTTTTTCCGTTGGTCAAAGACAATGCATGTTATGACTTGTAGAAAAACAAGGGACATAGGTTCTATTCTTCTAAAGCTTTCATATTTAATATACTTACGTTGCTTTCTGCATAGCTTTCATAGCTGATGCTCCAGTTCTCAGTGCATCAACAGTTTCTGTTGTAGCTTTTGCCCCTTCCAACATTATCATCTGAAGTAATCAACAAAAATATATTTTATAAATAGAGTACAGGTGACAAACAAGGGAACCATGCTGAGAGCACAAGTATCATACAATAAATTAAGGTTGGTACCTGATCATGGATTCTCAACTGGAAATTTCCAAGCTGTTCAACTTGCTGCTCGTAGAGCCTTTTCCTCTTCAAGCATTGTATTGCAGCTGAAATAAATGCAAATCATAGATTCCATAAAATAAAATATAGCAATCTACAATAAACATAAATGTGCAGGTGTTTTGTACAAATCACCAGGCTCAGGATAGATATCAATCCTTGTTATCAAATTTCAGCATAACATGTCACCGATATAAACAGGACTTGAATGTCCATCAAAGAACTTAAGAGAAATATTGCAAAAACAGATAAAGACTTCGGTGAAACAAGTTAGTATAGTATTTGCTACATGTACTCTTTATAGGGCTGGGAATGTGTTGGACATCTTAACATGATAAATAAAATATTTGACATAATGTTTGTACTAACTTGATTAGGTCGAACATATACACCATTCTTCATGTCATGTTAAATGTTGGTCTACATGTTTTGAGCATTCAATGACACAACATGAGAATAGAGCTTTACGTAGCCATACTGTTCTAAGCACACAAAGAAGGATATTCCTTGATCCAAACCAAGACCTGGTCACCATCGGTGAGGTAGACTACCCGTACATTCTCCTGCTTCTTTTCAACAGTAGCAGATGCAGATAAGCGGAGGAAATATTCAGTCGTAAGTCTTAACCAAAACACTGACAACTGACTTTGAAAGAATAGGGCATCAAGTAAAAAAGAAGATGATACTGTTTTGATATAAACTGACAACAAAAACTGAAGAATGAATAACAACAAAGTTACCCTTCAGTTCACCTAACTACAGAGTAGAAAGACGCAAACAATTCTTAAAGTCCGTCAAAATTCAACGAGTTAAAGAAGAAATTTGTTCAGCAAATTGACAACTACAACCATTTAGTAAGAGAGTAAACTTCAGTCGTATACAGAACTTGGTTTGTAAATTGACAAAAATGTTTTAAGAGAAAACCAAATGATGCAAGCAGCACTTTGATCAAAATGCCGTACCCACAGTTATACAACTGAATTTTCATAGTGATCACCAGCAGGTAAGCACATACACAGAAACAAATAAAAAGAAATCAACATCAAGGCCAGAACCACAGTACCATCATGAAGGTTCTGTTAAACCAAATCAATATTCACATTCTCAATTGCCATTGAAACCCATCAGTACCAAGTTTTTCCAAGCAAAATGAGGAAGGCTACGGAAAATCGCTCTGAGTACGAAAGCTCAACAGAAGAAATGATGAAAGAAAGTCAACACGTTGTTAATTAATCGACAATATGTTAAGTTGCTTAACTTGCTATCCGACAGACGTGAAACGCTTTCAATCATAACCTCTTTACTAGAGATTAAGTAAGAAAACCTAACTTCCAATACTAAAAAGATTAAAGCACATGCAATGCTAAAGCAGTTATCTGGTGTGCAATAAGGATAATAATAATTATTAACAGCAAATTGGCAAGTCCAATCATCTTGGAAGCATTACAATTCAAACATACCTCAAATGAAGAATACAACTAAAGCAAGATTTTGCTGACAGGTACTAGGATCTGTCCGAGGTCAAAAAATATCATACCTCTTTTGTTTTTCGCTCTTGTAAACTCCTTCGCCTTCTCAACTTCAGTAGAAGCTTTCTTCAATAGGACTTTTTCTTTTTTCTCTAGCATTTCAAGGGTCTAAAAGAATTAAATGAAAAGTAGGTAAGGTAAAGAATGAAGCCAAATATTAAAGGTTTCGTAATTAGCATGTGGTAATCTAAACGATACGCATCCACTATCTACTTATATATGCAAGCACGTAACCAAGGGTGTGCATCTGACATGCATGGTAGATTGATATTATGCTGTTGATATAGTATTAATACAGACAACTTGACGCATCTAAATGTACAAATCGGTAAACATGAAGAGAAAACTAGATAATAATTTTTATATATTCCAGTATGCTAATATTAGTCCGGACTCCGGATATATCAACGTTGATGCATCTTCACAAATTTAGGGTAAGTTGCAGATAAACCCCTCATTTATACCTTTCAGTAATCACCCCTCAATTCATGAGGGGGAGAGGTATCTACAATCTAATACTCATTAAAAACGCCAATACAATGGTGATAAGTGCTCCTGGATTATCTACAATCTACCATTAATAAAATTATACTAAGACGAGTTCAAGCATAAATGGCCATAAATCTGATATATTGCCTAAAGCTTGTTTCTTCCAACAATCAACATGTCAAAAATGAGTATTTGCATAACTTTTTCCTTTAAAAGGAAACAAGAGTATAAAAAAAATACCTCATTTAATTTGTCGAGAGTAGCCAAAGCGCTGGTCTGCTCCTTAGGTTTCCCAAACAACCGATTAAACATCGTTCTCGATTTCTAAATTTTTATCCCCCCTGCAATACGAAGAAATATCGAAAACCCTAGATGAGGAGAACAAAATTAGGAGAAGGGGGACGAGGAAATTACCAAATAATAAGAGGTCGGTGGATCTAGCCGTAGAAATTAGGGCTCGGATCCGATTCCGATCGATAATTTCGAATCGATCGAAGATGGTAGGAGACTTTGAACGGGAAAGAAGCGATCTTTCGTCGAAGAGCAGATCGACGAAAATCCACAGAAAGGGAGAAGAAGGGAACTTTATTAACTGTCGAAAGAAGACCAAATAACTAGGACTCTTAATGTTAAGCGGGGCCCAAAATCATTGTGAGGGTGGTATTTTGGGTGTGGAATGTTCACGTTCTTTTAAATTATGGATTCCTTCGATGGTAATCAAAACAGACCGAGTAGTAGCAGACGAGGCCAAGGTCAGCGGAGTGCAAACTGCTAATTTCTGGAGCCTGTATTACGCGCTGTTTGTTTGCGTGAACTTGTTAGAAATCCATGGCGGGGGGGGGGGGGGGGGTGCAAAATTTTAATCTTAGAAATTTCAATGAAAATTTTGTGGTTGTTTTGCGGCCGAATTGGTCCGTTTCCTCGAAGAACGCTGCTCCAGGGACCCAAAATACGGGACTATTGGAGGGGACAAGTGAGGTGTCCCCCTTCTATTACATAATGAGCTGATCATGTCAGCTCATTATGCAATTGGAGGGGGACACCTCACATGTCCCATCCAATTATCTCATATTTTGGGTTATTAAGTCATTTTTCTTCTTAAAAATATAGAAATTGAATTTCTTAGAAGAAATCAAATTCGATGATTTTCATGCATTTCTTTGAAAATGCTAATTTTGTGTTTGAGAAGGGAAAAAAGGAAAGGGAATCTCTTTGTTTGTCGAAAACCCCCATAAATAAAAAATTAAAACTAGGGTAAGAGATAAAATGGAAGTAGTATTTGGATCGTCAGTTTTTTTAGTCCAGATCCAACCCAAATAAGAGGATTTTGAGGAATCTTGAAAATATGTTCTTTCTCTACTTTATAAAGAACTGTACTTATGGTTTTCTTTAAACAAACTTGAGCTAAGGAATCCTATATGGTGGGCTACCGCCTATTTTTGGTTTAATTCCTGCTTTTCACGTGATTTCTTGAAATTTTGGCTGAATCGAACAAATCCTTGATGACAAACTTTACTAAATAGATTGCATCAACTGTATTTCTACACCAGTTAATTCACTCTCTTGAGCATTAGAGAGGTTTGTGTTAGATCTGAATCATAAACTTAAGATCTAAAACCATATAGCCATGATTAATTCAAATAGATTAACAATAATTTAAAAGAGCGGAAGCTTATACGTGAATCCATAGATTGATCTTGATTTTGAGTTTTGGATCTTCTAACCTTAGGGTTTTCTCCTTTAGCCGAATTTCTCTCTTAGATGGGGTTGAAGAGAATTAAAGAATGTAACCCTAGGTTAGGGACCATAACCCCTTATTTATAGATGTTGTACTTTTGTAATTTAGCCCCTCAATAAATTACAATTACAACCTGGTATCTGCACATATAACCCCATGACTTATTTAAATACCAAATTAACCCAACTTAATTGATCACTTTAGTGGGTTATCCTGAAAGATAGCAATACACATTGATTAATCATATGTGCCCACAAATAGATTTATTAGATTAAATCCAACAGTTTGGGTATGGTTCCAATCTGTTGATGTCAGTTATCAAATAGGGAATAATTTGCAGGTTTGTGAAGTGGTTAAGGTTCTCTAACTCCTTATGATGTATGGCTTTGGGGTTTTCCGTTCTTCCCTGCACAAGAAAAAACTCGTAAGAGGACGGAGTTGGGTTCTCCAGTTGTTCCTCCGACGTTCAAGTCAGTATGTGATCTTGACTGGGGAAATATAGAGTTAGCTCTTAGTTGTGTCAAAAAGACCAAAGAGAGTTACCTCATGCACTTCCTCTCTTTTTTATAGTTGATCTAAGGGACAAGAATGTAACTTGGGCTAAGTCCAGCTAGGCAACTGAGTCAGTAGACATGTGTTGCGTGTCGGTTGCTGAAGAATGTGAGTCACTCGGTCATTTATTATGGAAATGACAGCATGTTCTTGATGTTGACTGGGTCCGGTGATTCATAAAGGTTATGGGGGCTAGAGAAATGATGACTTTGTCGGAGCATTTAATGCAACGATAGGCGGGGGTCGGCGCAGGGTTCAAGAAAAGTACCAACTCTTTTAGTCGTCCGGCTGATGGTCGACTATACATGTTGATGGCTAATACAACAGGCCAAGTAAGGGTTATTCGCATGGGCGATTTGGCCGGGTTGGACGACAAGTACCGCTTTTTTACTTGGTTAAGCGAGATGATGGCTAAAGCTGCTGAACACTGGGCTGAGTCGGGTGGCATGTGGAATCAATTGAAGGGTTGGCCAAGTAGTACCACCTTTTGTCTTGGTTATGCAAGGTGTCAGCTGAACAGTAGGTCGAGCTGAGGTGGAGATTATTTTTGTCTTGAATTAGATGTATTAGGTATAGTGTAAGACACGTGACAATTGCTCTGTGAAGATTAATATTTAGTATTTTTCAGGGGTATAACACAATCCAATCCCTTAACATATCTTTTCTTTGTAACAAGCCGCCCGGCTAGCAAAGTTGGCAAAGTTGCTATACACCGACTCCCCAAAAGTCTCTCAATTTATACACTAACAAATATACCTGTGAATGGTAGCGGCGTGTTTGGCAACTAGTCAACTAGTCAACTGGCTTATAAGTCACTGCAATATGCAACCGGCTTATTGCGGCTTAGAGCCCTAAAAAAAAGAGTTCCCCTAACCCAACTTATTTTTTCATTGGCTTATAAGCCACATAGTTTGACCATTGGCTTATAAACCACATAGTTTGACCAAACATATATCAATTTTATCCTTCAACATCTAAGATAATTTCAAGGTATAAATTTAGAATAGCGTCCAATTTAGTTAATTCTAATGACAATAATGAATTATAACGCACTCATTTGCCGGACACTCTCCTATTAAAAAGCTGCTTATAATGCATTTCTTTTACTAAATATTTTAGTTTATAACACACTTGGCTTATAATTTACTAGTTTATGGATTATAAGGCAAGTTTCCAAACATGCCCCAAGTCATCCAATTATTTTGGGAGTGTTGTGGTGAAGTCTGCGCTTTAGTGCCTCCCTTGCACGCATTATCCAGTTTTCCAAGGGCCCCGTTGTAAAAATCCCACCAAAAAGAGAATTTCGACAAAAAATCGCCTCCTCGCCTTTTCTTCGGGCGCTAAAAAAGCCCTTGGTAGAACCAGTCTAGGGTTTTCAGCCCCGATCGAACTCCCGAGCAATGGCGGAAAAAGGCGGCAAGGGCTTCCCAATGTCCAGAAAGAAAGTCGCTTTCAAATCCCCCGCTCCCAGTCAAGGTCAAATCTTTCTCAGATCTCTTCGACTCCCAATAAGTTTCTCCTAGGGTTTTCACAATGCGGCGACGGAATCGCCGATTAGGGTTTTCTATATAAGTAGGAAGCAGTTTGATTTTACCTAGGGTTTTTAGAGTTGAAATGCGATGGAATGAGATCGATGGGAACGAGGTTTCGGGGATGGCGCTGTTTGGGGGCAGCGGAAAGGGACAAAGAGAAGGCCTTTGCGCTTTCAGGCATCGGAATTTGCATATCGCAAGTATTTTATTATGGAAATGTCCATGATTAATGGGTGTGTGAATTGACCTGGAGATTTTTAGGTTATATATTAGGGCATTGTTAAATGCATTTTTGATATTTTGGGTTTCGATCTTTCATCGCGTGTTCACGTGACTGAATATTTAAGTCTCGTATTTCTCTATGATGAACAGCTACTTTACACTGTTAACTGTAGAAAATAATCCAAGGCAAAAGCAATTGTTTTTTCAATTAATTTAGATTTATTTACACTACAGTCTTAGGAGCTTTCACATTGGAGATTCACTGATAGAAGTTTGTTTCGAAAATAAAAATAAAAATAAAAATCTTCCACCACAAACCTGTTTATTTTGGGACATACAATTACTATAAACCGTTACCCTTTTATTATTTAATAATTCCTTGCAATGAACTGCGTGGAGTATGTAACCTTTTGTTTTTTTTCATTTATTTCACATTTTGGTCATTTATTCAATAACGCATTAACTATATTGGTCCCGTTTAGCTGTGGTAAGGTATTCTGGTCTTTGTTTGCTTTTATTGCAGCCGTTCTAACTTATCATACCTGTGAAATGTTCTCATGCAGAAACTCAGAAGAAAAAGGGTAGTGTTCCTATGGAGGAGGATGGACCGGTCCAGATTGATTCTGACTCAGAATCTGAAGGTCCTTTTAGTATTTGAGCTATTCGTTGTTTTCGTTAATGACCACATGTTTTAATTTCATGTTTTTTGTGGCTCTGTGAGACAATGAAATCATGTTACTATGTTTGGTCCTCTATGTTTAGAATCAGACATTCTTTTAAGAGACTTTGTTGTTTTATTTAATATTGTGCGGTGCAAGCGAACTCCGCCAGTGCTATTTGTCAGCACTGCTTGCCCCAAGTCAGGATGAAAGATGAGGGTTGTGTTAGGTAGCCGACAACCAGCTTAAAACATAGTTGAATCCACATGCAAAATGAATCCTAGTATATACTCGTTGGGGCGTCCCCACCGTGACACGTTGCATCGATCCCATCTCAATGCAATGATAAATAAGCAAGGATGGTTTGCTAGGGCGTCCCCAAAAAACGACACATTACATTGATGTCACTCCGTTGTAATAACAAGTAAGCAAGGGTGTTCTAAAAATCTACAATCTTCTAATAGGGTATCTACTAGAACGGTTTAAGAGAAAATGGTAGGAGACTTTTACAAGAAAATAGAATTAGATTAGTTATTTAGAATATAGGTACACTTACCGGAAAGACAATGAAATTAGTGGATACTGGATGTCATGATTAGAAGAAAGATAAATATAATTTGTTTACAAGAAACTAAATGGGTAGGTGAAAAATTTAGAGAAATTGAAAAGACCGGATATAAACTTTGGTACACGGGAAAAGAGAAGAATAGGAATGGAGTGGGAGTTCTTGCAGATAATCATACCCCCTTTAAAAGTACAAGCTCACGAAAATTTTTCCATGGTCAATATTACCCTTAGTTTTCTAAACATTACATTGTTATCCTAATCTATTCTAATTATCCTATCTTCTTTGAATTGGTAACCAAATGATTTATTCTATATATAATGAGATTTAACATGTTATTGAATAAAATATATATATTTCATAAAATTCAAATCCTTTACTAATTTTAGTTTGTAGAGAAATCTAAAAAACATTTGCTAACCAGCACCTACAAGTTTTTGGACTTTATAAAAAATATTCTCCAAGTTTTTTAAAATACAAAAATGCCCCTACAAATTTAAAATTTTATTAAAGCATCTTGAAAATTTTATATTTTACTTATCTTAATTAAGTGAGAAATCTGAAAAACATATGTTAATTAGAAACTAAAAGTTTTTTGACCTTTGAAAAAAATATCTTGTAAGTTTTAATAATTACAAAAACACTTCTAAAAATTCTAAATTTATAAAAAACACCTTGAAATTTTCAAATATATAAACATACTAAAACCTACAAATAACACAAACAACCCCCAAAAATTTTATGGAATTTGCAATACATACTTTGAACTTTTTACAAATTGCAAAATAGAACCCTCAAAATTATAAAATTTACAAAAATCCTGATAATTTATGACCTAACAGTACATTAAAAATATAAGAATAATAAATATCCCCTACATAATTTATAGAAAATACACTTAAAGTTTCAAAAATTACAAACAAATGTTTAAAATTCAAAATTTACAATAATGCCTTGAAAATTTTAAATTCATTAGTAAATTGAAAGCATAAGAATTATAAATAGTCTATAAACGATTTACGATCAGTAGAAAATATCTATAACTATAAGTTTAAAAATTGCAAAAAGTCCTTAAAATTCATAATTTACAAAGAGCACCATGATAGACACAAATGAATATGCAAAATTACTAACAAACCCTAGAAAATTAAAATTTTACAAAAAATATCATACACCTTTTAAAAGTATAGGTTTAGGAAAAATATTTCATGGTAAATATTACCCATAATTTTTTGAAAAGAACAGAACTACTTAAAAATCTATTAAATTTAAAATTTACAAAAGAACACCCTTAAAGTATAGTACATTGTAAATTACCCCTCCAAAGTTTGAAAGTTTTAATGGTTTTTTTGTAATTCCTTGATTTTAATATAATGTTTAAGAGTTTTGTGTATTTGTAAATTACAAAACTTAAGGTGTTTTTTTACACTTTTTAAAACTTTTTTTATTTTATAGTTTTCTAAATTGTCATTGTGTTTTCAGTAATGCACATATACATCAATTAATGATCATATTGAAGAATAAGTCATTTTTAAGATTATTAGACCATAGTTATGTGTGCACACATAGTTTATATATGCAAAAAAATTTAGACAATCTATATAGTGGTTAAAAAGATTTTGACTTTAATGTACTATATGCAAAAAAATTTAGACAATCTATATAGTGGTTAAAAAGATTTTGACTTTAATGTACTATTTTTTATAAATTATATTTAAATATAGTGGTTAAAAAGATTTTGACTTTAATGTACTATTTTTTATAAATTATATTTAATGTGAACCCACTATATAATTTTGACTATGATCATCATAATTTTTAATACGTTTGATTGATTGACTATATATGTATATAGATCATAGATTGCTTTATTTTCTCACATGAGTTAATATTTGGTGCTTAGTAATTTAAATTATTACTTTTAAAGTTAATATAAAGAGGAGCTCTAATAACATTTATTTATTTATCTACAACATAATACATTCTCAATTCCTATTTTTTGCTGGAGATTTATTTCATAGTTACTTGTATCAAATTTGTAACTAAAATGATAATTAGTTATGCTTAAATTAGGATGATTGTAGTTGGTCACTCACTATGAATTTTTTCTGAAGATATATACCTTAATTTCTATAGCTATCTGCACTATCCATGTGTATTTTATAAATTAGTTCTTAATTTGACATATTAAATTATTTTTCCCTTGTAGAAATTTCTTCCTTTACTTTTTAGACTGTGTAATCACTATATCACCATTCTAGCATAGAAATAACCTCACTCTAAATAGGCTTCAAGCCAATATTTGAGTTGCATTGAAGTATATATTATTGCTACTTTATGTATATATTTTTTAAAAAATCTTGTTAACACTTTTTAAATAGAAGAGAATACTCTTAACTTCTGATATTATAAAAACTAAATATAGCCAATTAAATGATTAGCAAAAGAGAACTTACATCAGAAAAATGTGAATAATAAAATAAAATGGAAAGGTAATGACATTACTAATAGTATTACAAATAGCAAAGTACAATGTAAAGTTAACATATTTTGTGGAGCCTAACTACTGGCTATAAACATCGAGGTTTATATATATATACTTTATAATTTATTAAAAATGGTCATATAATCTTATATAATAAAATTGATTTAATATTGAATAGTAATATCATTGTAATAATATCAAATTAGAAAAAATTCTTCATGAATCGATATGTTCTTTACGATATATAAGTTATGCACTCCATATTCTTATGTTTTTTATAGAGCCAAAAAGTTTGAATACATGCATCTTAACATGTTGCTCTCACAACAACAAAATTCACTTAGAAGATATGGATATTCCAGATGAGTTATGTATCCTATATACAATATAATTGCCCTAAGCAAGTGAGTTAATAGCATTTTTTATTCCCATCATTTGGGACAATATTTGATAAGAACCTTATACCAAAGAAAAAAAAAATATGTAGAGCACATGGCGAAATATATCATAATATCATTTTTCTAATTTTGTAAGAAAATAATTATTCATACTTTCAGTTTTACTTCTATCATACAAAGAATGAGCTATAAAATTGAATGAGAATATTAGATAATATAAATACGAGTGAAACATCAACTAAAAGTTAACGTGAATATGAGTCAAACCACAACTAAAAGTTTAATGGACATATTGTAAGTAAATTCATATGCAAATTTTTTTTGTGAATTGAATGATCACCCATCTTTTGAAGACTTTAAGATACTAATAAATAGAGATGTTGTACTAGATTAATGTGTTTATAACTCACAAATAGTAGATCATGTGACCACAGTCTGAGTTAAAGGAAATAATGACAATATTTTATTTGAGAGAGATTATTGAGTTAATGATCAATCCCATAAAAAACTTTGTTTTTTATTTTTACTCTATTTTTATCAATTAAAATAATCATGATATTCAAACACATCCATTGCACGTGAATCTCGACTAGTATAATAAAAGAAAATGTTGTAGATGTAAGAAGAGTTGGGGATAGAATAATATTAATAAAAGTTATCTTAGATGTAAAGTTTATTAATATTATTACTACTTATGCACCACAAATAGGCTTGTCTGAGAGTACTAAAAGAAAATTTTGGGATAGATTAAATGAATTAGTACAATAAATCCCATTTGGAGAGAACTTACTTATAGGAGGGGATCTTAATGAGCATGTTGGTAAGGATAATAACGGATATGAGAGGATACATGGAGGTTTCGGGTATGTAGATAAGAACGATATGAGTAAATCAATTCTAGAGTTCGCAATATCGTATGATTTGATAATAGCAAATACACTTTTTAGAAAAAGGGATGAACACTTAATAACCTTTAAAAGTTATTTTAATAATAGTCAAATAAATTTTTTTTTTCTTACTAAAATGACGGATATGTTAATATGCATAGGTTGTATAGTTATACCAGGAGAGAATTTAAGCACACAATATAGATTGATAGTCTTGACATCTATTAAAAAGTGAAATAGAAAAACTAACGTGAATAAGACTAAGAACTAAATAGTGAAATTTAAAAGGAGAGAATTTAATACATTTTAAAGATAAGATAATAAAAGAAGATATATGGAACATAGATAATGAGACTAATATTATATGGAATAGCATGTATTCTTGTATTAGGAAAGTGGCTAAAGATATACTAGGAGAATCTAAAGGTTGTAGATAGACTGTAAGGGGTTGTTTGGTTGGTTTCCTAAAATCAAAGAAAAGGAAATAGGATCTTGGAAATCATTAAAGTTAATTTTCATCCGTTTTCATCCTTAAAAATCACACACATCATCCAATAATATAGTGATAACTCATCTCATCTCCTTTCTTACTTTTAAGAATGAACCAAACACAAGAAAAGAACTTATTATAAAAAATAGATTTCTTTAAAAATAGGATTCTTTAAAATCACCCACATCATCTAATAATATGGTGACAACTCATCTTATCTCATTAAAATTTGATTTCCATCCATTTCCTCCAAAAAAAATCATGAAATGGATTTCCTTAAGTATAAGTCACATCATCCAATAATATAATGACAACTCATCTCATATCATCTCTTTTCTTAGTTTTAAGAATGAACTAAACATAAGAAAAGAACCTATTATAGGAAATAAATTTCTTATAATTGATTTCCTTATTTTTTTAGCCAACCAAACAACCTCAAAACAAGTCATGAAATTTATTTCTTAAAAAATCACCCATATGATCTAATAATATTGTGACAACTCATCTCATTTCATTTCTTACTTTTAAGAAGTGAACCAAACACAAGAAAAGAACCTATTCTAGAAAATATGTTTCATTTTCTTTGATTTTCTTATTTTTTTAGCCAAGCAAACAAACCCCTAAGGAGAGTTGGTGGTGGAATGAGAGTGTGCAAAAGGTTATTAGAGAGAAAAAACACTTTAATATAAAGAGTGGTAAAAGTGTAGGAGTAGAAAAACTTAGAAAAATATAACAACCTAGTAAGGAATGAAGCAAAAAGAGCGATTAGTGAGAATAAATACAAAGCTTATGAAATTTTTTATAAGAAGTTAGAATCTAAGGAGAGAGAGATATAATAAGCTTGCTAAGATTATAGAAAAGAAGAGTAGTGATTTGGGTAATATTAGGTGTATTAAAAGTGAGGATCAAAGAGTTCTAATGACCTACGTGGAAATAAAAGAGAGGTGGAGGGGTTACTTTTATCAATTGTTTAATGATAATCAAACAAGTGAGTAGAGATTTTGACCATACGGTGAATGATAGGAACTGTAGATATTGTCGTAAAATTAAGATTAACGAGGTTAAAGATGCTCTAAAGAAAATAAAAAGTGGACGAGCCGTAGGACTGGATGATATCCCCATTGAAGTTTGGAAATATCTTGGAGATATAGGCTTAGGATGGTTAACTAAACTATTTAATAAGATTATCGAGACGAAAAGAATTTTGATGAGTGGAGGATTCCTTATCTTTTTACATTAGTTATGGGTCAACTTACTAAGCACATTCAGGATAAAATCTCATGGTGTATGTTATTTGCTGATGATATAGTATTAGTTGATAAACTAGAAGAGACATTATTGTTAAAGTTGAAAGATGGAGACAAGCTCTTGAGGCTAAATGTTTTAGAATTAGTAGAACAAAAAACAGAATATATAGAATGCATTTTTAGTAAAAGTAGGAAAGAAAGAGAGCCTATGATACATATTGATGGCCAAGAAATACCTAAAACTAATCATTTTTTTTATTTAGGATCTATTATTAGACATGATGGTGAGATAGAGCATGATGTTGTGCATCAAATCAAATCGGGATGGTTGAAATAGAGGAGCGCTTCAAGAGTCTTATGTGATCGTAGAATATCAATGAAACTAAAGGAAAAATTTTATAGGACGGTTATAAGACCAACTATGCTTTATGGATCAGAATGCTAGGCAATTAAAAAACATGTTTAAAAAATAAGTGTAGCAGAAATAAGAATGTTACGATGGTCTTATGGATATACATTAAAAGATAGGATAAGAAATAAATGCATCTGTAGTAAATTAGAGCTTGCACCTATTGAGGATAAAATAAGAGAGAATAGATTAAGATGATTTGGTCATGTACAAAGGAGACTCCTTAGTGTACCGATTAGAAAAAGTGATAATAGTAGTGTTTAATGGGGCTAGGAGATCTAAAGGCCGATCTAGAACGACTTGATCAGAAGCAATTAAGAAGGATATGATTATAACTAATGTAACAGAGAAAATGATCCACAACAGAATGGAATGGAAAAATAGGATTCATATAGCCGACCCTAAACATTTGGGATAAATGCTTGGTTGTTGTTGTTGTGCGGTGTAAGCGGCAATATCCATTAACATAGGTGAAAAGTAATTTGCTTTGTGTATGCCTGTGAGGTGAGGTATTGGGGACACTGTGTTAATCATTTGAAACTTTGAACCTTTTGATATGTCTTAAGACTACCCATTTTCGGGACAACTTGAGTATTACATGAAAAAATGCCAGATTGTCTTTTATACTACCTCTAGGTTGTTAGGCAGAATCAAGCATAAAAAAAGAGGACCCTGTTAATTTAATAGTAACCATATCCATATGTAAGCATGTTTCTTCCCATTCTGTGATACATAGACAGACACCCTCACCACTCGCCAGTAATTTATGTAAACAATAAAACTCAATATATGAAGGTACATAATTAACCAATTTCCCAGTTTTCCTTGTCAAAATTGGCCCAAAAATGTTATTAGTGACTTCTTGTCTGAATATGCATACAGTCCTATAGTAATATAATTGCCTTAATAGGTTTGAGTTGGTATAAGACACCATTCTATGCAGGTAACAATATCTTTGAAGTAGTGAAATACTCATCTAAAGATATCCCAAATTTCTCTATTTAAAAGTGATCCCTAATTAGTTTACAGGGTTATTGCTTTTCACCCATTTATTTTATTGTTTAGAATATATTTAATTTATTCATAGATCATCATTATGCTGTACAAGTAATTTGAGGCAGTATCACATAGGAGAATTAAATTATTTGTCAATTAGTTTTAGTGCTATGTCAAAGCTTGAATTATAACTGAAATTGGTGACTAGTACATGAAGTTCCTGTATTTTAAATTATTGATAATTGAGGATATCCAAAAATTTCTTCTTAAATATAAAATATTCAGAAAGCTGCATAAGAACATTGAGATTAGCATCTCATTCAATTGATTAGTTTCTGTATAATATTTCTGTGGCTTAAACTGATTGTGTTTCTACAATTTAGTACTAAAACATGTTCTTGGCATTTTGCAATCAACCTGATCTAGTATCCAAGAAAAATGAAATGGCCTCATAAATTTTCTTTGATTGTTTCCAATTTCTTAGGTTTTGTGAATAGTTTAAATGAAACGTTATCAAAAGGCAACGGAAAAGCACCAAAAGAAACAGCAAAGTCTGGTATGAAGTCCTCACTTGATGGTCTTAAGACAGGCACAAAAACTTCACTCGAGGCCCCAGCTACTAAAGGTCTGAAACACTTGTCAAATGCATGCTTACACCTGAAGAAATGTTTAGGTCTTTTATGGAAGTTCTTGGTAACATCCCTGGTTTGATACTCACTCTTTCAGGGAGTTCAGGCAAAGGAGGTAAAGCTTATAGCTCAGGAAAGGCAGGTGGAAAGGGTGGCCTTCCCCGAGCGTCAGCTGTAAAGCCCCCTGTAACAGAAGTAGAGCTGAAACTTGAAATGGGTAAGTTGTTGCTGTGACATTTATATTTGCTTCTGCAAATGTTAGTATCTTGTACTTGTGATGCTTGTTTTATGGTAGTGCATAATCAATCATGTCACGATGCTCCATCTTCTATATGCAACAACTTGACATTCAACATCTGCCATCTGGCTTTTTTCTTTTTGTTTTCTATCTTTCATTCAACCATTTTTTCCTGGTGTTTGATGTGTATCGGGAAGGTGCTCTTTTTGGGGGTTCGGCGCTAAATCTCAAAGCTTAGGAATTGTAAACCACATTTCTTGTCAAGTATTCAGTTCTGGAGCCAGAATGGAGGAAAATAAATGTTTGCTGATTAAATAGATTCTGCAAAGAATTATGTGTGTTGTAACTGTTAAAATATGCAAAATAGGAAAAACAGACAAAAGAATATGAGAAAAGTTTTTTAAAAATGACGCCAGTTATGTATCACTAGATTGTGTTCATAAGATTATAGCGATATACTATGGGGCGTGTTGGTTTACTATGGCTGCAACTGGAGTTCCAGCTTGTAAAAAGACTTTCCAGTTGCCCTTTTTTGCAAGTGGCTTGCAACACTGCAGCTGCAACTGAAACTATATTTGAATGCAAAGTCACAGTTTTAGTGAAGTAATCAAACCATAGATGTTAAAAGGATACCCAGACGGTTGAACAATGTTCCTCTTTCTATCCAAAGTATTATTTGTTTTATAGATGCAGAGACTATAGGAGTTTCAGGTTTTCCAGATTTTGTGCTGCAGATGTTTCTTGTATTTGTCACGCAGTAAGCCAACTACTCAAGGGATAAAAGATTGATATCTCAACTATGAGCTCTCAAAGCTGCATCCACTTGGCATGATTTCAGGAGTTGATATTCTTGTTTGCTACAGTTTGTCATCATGTATTTAGCTTTATTCAAGCTTTTAACAACGTATAGAGTAAGCTATGGATTAAGACATAAAGTTGGCAAAACTCCAAAATAATTAACCGTAGCCATTAAACCTGACTTAGTTCACTATAAGTTGGTGCCGATTCATGAATAGGGTAACTCTTGAGTTGATCAATGATTCAATCTATGTACCTACAATGTGAAAACGATAAGAGATGTACAAAGCAAAGTGAACATTGGGTCCTTAGTGGCTTAGTATGGTTTATATGTTCAGCGTGGCAAACAGCGTCTTAAGCGTCCACTTAGGCAGAAGTTGGCCGAGTTCCCTTTGACCAAGGTGACTGTCCCTGGGGAATTTAAAGCTGTAATATCTTTTTTTATTACTATTTTGAAGATAACCTCCAATATGTTTTAATTTAAAACACTCATCATACACTCCTGGAAGTATATATTGCACTTAATATCTATTTCTTGAAACTCGTTGGACGCAATAGGAGCACTTCAGCCATACCCAATTCAAAACTATGATTTTAAAAAGCTGTTTGTGTATCTAGTTCAAAAAGCAAGCAGTTTTTCAATTTATAATCTACATAATAAAAGAAAAATAAAGATAATATAGGGAAATGTAAAGCATATTGATCTCATGTAAATTATTAATTTCGATGTACACACACATATGATGTAGCTGCATCCCCTTCACAAATTTGCCGTGTCTCCACACACGCACCTGTATCCACAAAACATAGTTGGACTCCATCCCTTTCATCTGATCGTGTATGATCTTTTTATACTTGTGTATATTTGTCTAATATCTATGTCTGTTCAATTGATTAGATTCCTGCAAATAAATGATTAACCTGGCAATGTTTACTTATTGCATCTGACATTCTATTGTAGATATTCCAGAAGATGCTAGGGTCATAATGGATTGCGAAGCGGCAACTATTTTACAGGGAATTCAGGATTCCCTGTCTGTATTGTCAGATGATCCCAGCATCAAAATGCCTCCGTAAGTGTGGACATTTGGAGTGTATTATCCCTACTATATAGCTGTCCAGGATTCTGGGAATCTGGAGTATGTCTTACATTTATCCTGGATACTCGATGGTCCTGTTATATAACACGATATATCCAGTGAAGTTCCTTCCCATTCCCGGTTCTAATTTACTTGCTTATGAAGACCTTTTGTATATTCATCAGTTCCTTCACAGTTTACAACTATTGCCTAGAACCTTTTCTTCAATACTTCTCAGTCAAGTTTTTTTTTATGTTTACTTAAAAGGTAATATTGTGCAAGGACTCCCTGATTACTTTATACCCTCTAAGTGAGTACCTAATTTGCCGCTGACTACTGAGACTTGATTACTATTTTATGGAAAAGCACTTCTGACAAAAATGGGATTGTGTTTTCTAATGTTACAACCATTATATATTGGTATGATAATTGTGGTACATATTGCCTTATGCTGAATGACTAAGCTTTAAATATTTATGCTAGCTAGATTTAAATGTCTCAATCAAGGATCTGCAAATTGGTTACATATCGAGCATGTCATCCCAGATTTTAGGAGTCTATGTCAAAACACTTCTAGACTCTGGTATGGTTCAATAATACTGATTGGCAGAAACCATTGTCTCTGATGGACAGTGCAAGAAAACGAAGAAACATAGCCTGTAAAATAGAAAAGAATTAGCTAAAATGAGGTGGCAATAAACTGACCATTGCCCTTTTGTTGGTGGGTTGGTTGGGTTGGGAGGGAGCACGCTCATCTTGAAAGGAGATTTTCCTATGTACTTTGTCAACAACAAAATTGGTAATGATAATCAAAGAGCAGAAAATTTTCAGGGTTAATATTCTTTTACGTCTGATATGAGGCAATTGATGGAATCATGGAACCCAAAAATTTTCTTCTGCAGTGTCTGCTTCTCTTTTTCTATCTTGGATATTATTTTCTCCAACGAAATCTTTCTTCTAAAAAGACCCCATGCAATTGTTTGGTTGATATGTCAGTGTAACACTTATATGTTCTGCCTTCACCCTGACCTGCAACCCCCACATGCAGGCACAAACATAACACACATGAAGCTGTTTCCTTGGCTTTGCTTTATCTGTTTCGCCTTCTCCTCCTTGCTCTCTTCACTCTTCTGCCTTTATTTTTTGGCTAAATTGCACAAAAATACTATAAAGTTTGCTGTTTTGACAATTAAATACCAAAAGTTGCATTTTGGTACAATAAACTACCATAACTTTCCAAAATTTGCATGTTACTACCATCGATCACGTGAACGTGGAAATTTTCACCCGAATGTTCTTATGATACTTACATGCTAATTTTAGAGCTTTTTAACTAATAGTATTTGTTAAATTTAATATCAAATCAATCAAATTTCTTTTTCAAACTTATCTTAATTCTACTTTAAAATAGAGTTGGGATATTTCTAATAACTTTGATAAATATTAATGGTTAGAAAGCTCTAAAATTAGTATGTAATTATCATAAAGAAACATATAGATGAAAATTTCCTTGATTGAATGATTAATGGTAGAAACGTGCAAATTTTGGGAACTTTATGGTATTGTTTTGTACCAAAATGCAACTTGTGGTATTTGATTGTCAAAACAGAAAACTTCATGGTAATTTTGTGCAATATAGCCTTATTTATTCTGTAACTTTTAGGTTTCTTTTATTATTTCTTGATCATTTTCTTCCACTTTTAATTTCTTATTTCCTTATATAATTGTCATTTTTTTTTCTCTTAATAACAGGCAGTCAGTATCCTATTGACATTTTTTTTCCTGTGTACAAAGATTAAATTATAACAAGATTTGCATTCGAAATGTTTTATTTTTGTTGTGCACAATATCCAAAAGTTCCATCTAACCAAATAACAATGCGTTCTCCCTCTGTAGACACACGTATATACACGCCCACATATGACACACCCATAGGACGTACGTATACCCTCACATATAAACACAGGTATTTAACCACACACATGTAACCACAGATTCAAACTATGCTGTGAAATAAGGTTTCTGTGAAAAAAAATAGTAGAACAGTATAAGTACCATATTCTTGTTAACAAAAAGAAAATAAGAGAACTGGGAATATAGTTTGCAGCTTGTAATTTTTTTTGTTAAGGAACTTTCAAGATTTCTCTAAGGAGTTATTTAGCTATTAATTCTCTAATATGGGGTAGTTAAATTATTCAGATTACTACATACTCTTGGATAAATATTATTTTTTTGGAATTATTAGATTTTGAAATTCGTATGACTTAACCAAGAAATTCTTCAACTTGTCTGACCACTTTAGCGCTGAGTCAAGTTTATGAGGCTAAACCAATGATTCAAAAAGCCTATGCCTAGCCCGCCTTAGTGCACATCTAGGCCTAGGTAGTACCCAGGCTGCCTGCCTAGTGCCTAGGCGGTACCTAGGTGGTACTCCCAGTTTTGGGAACGCTTAAGGGAGTGTGGTATGTTTATGTGGACCACACCCTTTAGGCCTTAGTTGTAGTTATTTGGCTGTTAATTCTCTGATATGGAGTAGTTAAAATATTGGGATTATTACATACTCTTAGATAAGTATTATTAGATTTTGAATTCGTATGACTTAACCAAGGAAATATTTTAACCTTGCCTGACCGCTTTAGCACTGAGTCAAGTTTCAGAGGCTAAACCAATGTTTTAAAAAGCTTCCGCATAGTCCGCCTAGGCTAGGTGGTACCCGGGCCGCCCACGTAGCCCCTAGGCGATACCTAGGCTGTATTCCTAGGTTTTGGAAGTGCCTAAGGGAGATACATGGACCGCATCCTTTAGGCCTTGATCATGATTTTCTCCTTTGTAGTGTCCACATCCTTCAAACTCCTTCAGCCTCTAACTAGAAACACTTTTTCTACATTCTCCAACCTTCAGCAAAACCCCCTCCACCACTACTTAAACGAAAAAAGAAATCCGCCTAGGCGCTAGTCTAACATTTAAGTTTTCTATAACATTAGAAGTTACTATCAAATATCAATTGTTGTAATTGAAAAATAGAAAATAGGAAATCCGCCTGGGTTCTGGCCTAGCTCCTATGCTTTAGGCGTTAGGGTCGAATGCCTAGGCCACCTAGTGCTTTCTGTAATGTTGAGCTAAACTATTGAATGATCCGAGAATTCTCAATGCTGCGTTTTGATTATGATATTTCAGAAAATTAATAATTCTTTGAACCGTGTCATGTATGCCCACATTTTAGTGAATACATTTTTTTGTCATCCAACATGTCAATTGCTTCTGGAAATATGTAAGCTCATTCATGACATATGTTTCCTCCTAACAGCGTTACTCTCAAATTCGCACTAAACAAAAGCTCAGTGCTGCAGTTGTGCTTTTTGCTACTATATATGTCAATCTATTTATTTATCGCTTTTTAGCTTGTTCTATCTGTTTAATACATGTACTGTTAGTTGAGCTTAACTTTGGCTTTATTTCTCTTTCTCCAGTTTTTTTAACAAAGCATTGGAGTACTGCAAAGGAAGAAACAACTACACCAATGCTGAATCAGTCAGACAAGTCCTGGAGTATCCTTTTCGCTTTGTTCAACTTGCTTAACATTATCATACCCATCATACTAGCCAAGTAGCCATTGCTCTTGTTTATATAAGGTGCGCAATTTTTTTCTTTTCGACCCTTAACTTAAGCTTCAGAACTCTTAAGGAACATGGGGTCACTGAGGGCGAGGTCAGCTCCTCAACTCTTCTTTTTTGGTATGTAAAGGTGCCATGCAATTAATAATTTGTCTCCCTTTTGATGAACAGATATGCATGATTGGTAACGCATTCCCAGAGACCATTGCTGAGGTTTATGCTCTTATACCTTCCTTGAAGGTAAGAAATACCTGGACACTGCTTTTCTTGCCTCAAATCTGTTTGGCATGAAATGTCGATGCATGAAGTTTTCTATACCAATGTTACCTTCATACTGTCTTGTACAATATGACAAATTGATAATATTGGGAGATTGACCCTGGGTTTACTTGGGTTTGAACGTTGAAATCAAATAGCTGAAGTATACTCTTGTCTACAAATTGATTGAGTTTAAGAGTCAGGACTACTTGAGGGATTTTATATCTTTTGTTAACTGATTTTAAAAAGGGTTTTTGCAGATAGGCCCTCTGTACTATCGCCCAATTGTGGATAGACCCCCTTGCATTTCTATTGCTGCTAATAGACCTACTGAGTGATTTTTTTTAACTCTATTACCCTCAGGAGGTCTATTTATCAAAAAAATTCCTTCTTAACTGAGAGCAAAAGAGTCCCAAAAAAAAAAAAAAAACACTCCGGCATCCATCCGAAATTGGGTGATATTAAGGGGGTTCTATCCACAAGTAACCTTTTTGAAAATGTATCAAGATTTGAAGAGGTTGCTACATGTCCTCGCGCCCTGTCTTCTACTTTCCTGCTGTTTTTTAATCATGTATTGCCACCTTCATAGATGCGTAGTCCATGTGACCATGTCTTCTTACTACAGGCTAACAAGCATAAGATTGAGGGACCTATCCAGGAAGTGCTAGTCAACCTGGCCGGCCTCAGGCGTGTTGAGTAATTCTCACGTCATCAGGATGCATATCTTCTGTAAGTACCTTTTCGTCATTATTAGTTTGCAATATTTCTTGCTGAAGCTGGATTTCTGAGCGTTAGTTTTTCTCTAGAATGAAGGGCAAGAACCTTTACTTGCAATGTTTAAGAACTATTAGTAGTTCTTACATGATCGGTCCCATATAGAGCTGCTCACCACATTTGTTCTGTCAAAGTGTTAATTGCATATATACGCCAGCTGGTGGTGAGTCACTTATATTCCTAAACTTTTTATTAGCGCTTACACCTTCTGAACCTCAGACGACAGATGCACTTGTTTGCCCCCAATTTAGAGGGCAATTTAGACTTTTTTGAGTTAATTTGAGGGCAAAGGTGCAAGTGCTAATAAAAAGAATTTATGGGTTATAAAAATGATAATCAAAATCTCCATATTACTTATTTACTAAACGATTTTTTCCCCTTGAGGTGTCGTATTTAAGAATACTTGCCGACTCTTTTTGCAGACCAAAAAATGCAATATGCTGAGCAAAGATGTACTAAGTTATGGTAGAACCTATGAATATTTGCGGTGCACGATGTAGGAAAAGGTTGTAAATATTTGGGGTTCACATACAATGGAAGGTGATGGTTTTTTGGTGGAATCAAACTTCTGAGACGATGTCATGTATATATATCTAACTTGCTAAGGGTATCATCCGTTGCTTTCCTGAAACTTTCGGGGATGAATCGGAGTTTTTGCATATCAACTGTTTTTTGTCTTGTTTTTATTTTTAGAGACTCATCTTTCTAGTTAGCCGGGCCTCGATTTAAATTCCAACTGAAATCTTCATCTTATTTTCTACATTATTTCATGCGGTTCAGAATCTTTCCGAGTCTGTTTAAAGTTCTCACTTTGAATTTCTTTTGATTCGTACCGTCTCTTCCAAAGTTGAGAGTTCTCATTACAAAATTATAAAATTATATATATATAGATTGATTTAAAGTATGTTAAAACGATGCAAAAGAGAATATGAAGTTTATTCCTAATTATTGATAGACTTCATAAAAAAATATAAATTAAAAATTAATGCTAACTTTAGTATACTTTTATATGATAAAAACATCCACATAAGAATATAAAAGTACTAAAAAAAATTCATGAAACTATAAAAACATCCACATAAGAATATAAAAGTACTAAAAAAAATTCATGAAACTCCCTTCTAAAGATTCCTATTTTCACTCAAAATAATTAAACTATTCTATAAAATATTCAAAAAAATATTGTTTTTTATTTCTTCAATTTTATTTTTTATTGAGTTAAGATCAATCATTCTTCAGGTTTATCATTTATCATTTCTCGGGCAATTCTAGAGTATTGTCTTCATCATCTACATCAATTGTGACATCAGGCTAATTTTGTATTTTTTATGCTATTATCTTTCCTGGGCTCGTTAATTTTTTATCATCTCATTTAACTTTACAAAGAAGTCAAATGTACTTATGATGTTCAACACAAACTGCTCAAAATATAGACTTTGATTTTTTTCTATTTCAATGAGAATAAATATTAATTTCATATATATAAAATTCTTTGTGTTCCTAATTTATTACTTAAATAAATTAGAAGCTATCTCTTTATTTTCCTCTAAAATGAATTCTTCTGATGTGCATCCAATAAGAATTTCTGTTATTTCAATAATATTACATTTGCTCTATCCCTATCATTTTCCATAGAGATCTAAACTAAATACATGCATTATTCATTACCAATTTCTCTTAGATTATAATATTAATATTTAATTTGAAGAACACAATATGGAATTTATGAATACTTACTAATTTTCTTATGTCTTCCATGGAGATTTTTTCTTTGATTAAGATAAAGTTATTAAATTATTTTTTAATGTAACTCATTCAGTGCTTTATTAATAGATATGTCTTATGTTAATACCAATTCAAGTGATTCATTGACGTTTTCTGAATTTTAGATTTATTTCCATCACTTTCCCATTTGCAATGGAAATAACTCAATTCTTTTAAAGTTATCTCTAAATATTCTAATAGTTTCTTCATATGTAATTCCTTGTATTCTTTTACCCTATAAATATTATTAACGTTAAAGATTAAAGTTTCTAAGTTAAAATCAATTAATGCTAAGGTATAATATTATAGTGTTTTATCATTTTTATGGATTTAAACATCTATCAATTAATGTTACGAATGTATTTAGGCTACCCCAACTTATTACCAAAATTATATGAAATTAATTTAATTTATATAGTGCCGATAAATTTTTAATCTATAATATTTTAAAAATTTTATCCATTAACCAAATGTTTTTAATCAATTCTTATTGTTTTTGTTTACCAGTATCAAAATTAATTTAATTTATATAGTGCCGATAAATTTTTAATCTATAATATTTTAAAAATTTTATCCATTAACCAAATGTTTTTAATCAATTCTTATTGTTTTTGTTTACCAGTATCAACTTAGACTATTCTTAGATGCTGAAAATGGATAGTAAATCCCTAAATTAGAAATTTTAATATATATATATATATATA